CTTTCTTTCTTTCTTTCTTTCTTTCTTTCTTTCTTTCTGTTAGTCCAATCTAAGGTTATATGCGTTTCAGATAATTGAGGATCATATTGAAGTAAGGAGTTTTCCTTTTCTTGCATCAAACCTACAAACTAAGCAACTCCAAAGAGAAATTCATAATATAAATTCCCTTCAAGTACCATCTCAACTTAGATAACTCAACATAACGAAAGTATAGCTCATTCAAGAATGTCAATATATTTGCTTGCAATTGAAGACAAAACTTCTCAAACATGTCAGTCCCCGGTACTAGTTGGCCGGTTGAAGGTTTTTTAATGGATGCAAGTTGTCAAGCATAAAAAATGAGTCTAGGAATCTCTAAAATGCCTTAGAAATCCGCACCCTGAAATAATTCAACCTAGTTACATAGCTTTAAAAAAAATCAAAACACGTTACTTTTAATAGTCTAGGAGCAAGTGGAAAGTGCAAAAAATTCATAGGCTCAGCTGCACGTGCACTCTAATCGAAAGGGTATAAAGTCAAGTAAAGATTGGCTGGTTAGTGAACTGTCCAGTAAAGCAAGAGCCTATCTCACAATTAGAGTGGTTTTCATAAATGCGTGAAATACACTTTAGCATGTTTAACAGTACAGTAAAAACCAGGCGTATAAGTGCCTATATTTTGACTAAACCTCATAGGTTAAGGTTTACTTTTTAACCCCTTTTACATGAGAACCTATTTTGGGGTAAAAATTCAACGCAGGTTCTTAATTTATCAAATTGATTCAAATCTTAAAAAATTATGAATCAAAGAAAATAAGCTACACAAAGATTTTACACTGTAAATTAAGCTGTAAATTACATACATTGTAACTTTAAAGTGCATATAGTGTTTGCATGTATTTGCTTAGATTGCAGTCAGTTAGTGAAGCTTTTTATACATAATTTATGTAAATAATAGAGCACGCCTCGCAAAAACGAGTCGCTTTTTTCTTAAGAATATAAGAACTTGTTTAAGAACCTAAATAGCCTAGTTTTACAGTAAACATCATTTATTT